TTGGGTTGACAGAGATGGCATTGCCCTGGGTGGTACCAGGCTTGTCCACACGCTCTGTGACGTATCTCCCCACCCCGAGCTACAGGAGCCCTGACATCCCCACCTCGACGCTATGCTCTTCCCTCAGAAGAACCTTAATAAAACCCACCTTCCAGAAGGGCTGGGTGTTCTCGTGCCCACAGGGGCACAGGGGAAGGCCTGGCCTGCAAGGCGCTGGAGGAGGGGAGGGGGGACCGGGCACCAGGATGGGTGGACGGGGCTCCAGGGTGAGTGGGCGGGGCACCGGGATGGGCAGGCGGGGCTCCCTCGCTCCTGGAGGCACAGCGCATCGCCGGCCCTTCCTCCCTCCCCGCTGACGAGCGCCCCCTGGCAGGCGCTCCATGAAGTACACGCTGTGCAGTGACAACCATGGCATCAAGCCCCCCACCCCGGAGCAGTACTTGACGCCCCTGCAGCAGAAGGAGGTGTGCATCCGGCACCTGAAGGCCCGGCTTAAGGACACGCAGGACCGGCTCCAGGACCGGTGAGCGGAAGGCCAGGGCCCGCGGCATCTCTGGAAGGAAAGAGTGGCTGGGGGCTCCTTTCTCCCGCAAAACCCCATCCGTCCCTTCCCTCCCTCAGCTGCTTCTAGAAGCTTCAGGTGGCTGCTTAGGGCCAAGCCGAAAGCGGTTTCCCCGGCCTCCCCGCCTCCCCTCTCACTCCAAGGCAGTGCTCTCTCTGTCGGAGCCTGGCAGCCCCTTTTGGCCACTTCTCGTGCCCTGGCTCCTTTCTACCTGGGGAGTAGGAGCCCAGGGCATTCTTCCTGGCTGAACTGCCCCTGGGGTCGGGGGGCGGGGTGGGGGAGAAACAACCTGTTAACCCTCCTTGGCCTCCTCCCAGGGGGTCACCAGGGGCTCCTGACCCATCGTTCAGGCCCAGGTGCCTTCTTCCTCATCCATTGTGAGAAACCTTTCTCTGAGCGCCCACCCAGCCCAGGGGTCTCCCAGGAGACCCCATGAGCCTGTCTGAGCTCATTCTCCAGACCTGAGGGCCCAGTCCTGACCCTCCCAGCCTTCACCTTTCCAGGCAGACAGCTTCATCTTTCTGATGGAAGCTGCAGGGCTGCCCTCTGACCTCTGCATCATCTACCCATCTGTGGATTCAGATACACAGCTAACTGTGAGCTGGACAAGGTGCCAGGCAGGGCACTGGGGGTCAGGGCACCATGACTATGCCTTCCTTCATCTTTTCTTTTTTAATATAACAATTTTATTGAGATATAATTCACATACTATACAATTCACTTATCTAAAGTAAACAATTCAGTGGGTTTTTAGTATATTCACAGAATGGTGCAACCATCAAGAGTATCTAATTCTAGAATATTTTCATCACTCCAGACAGAAACCCTGTTCCCAGTAGCAATCATGCTCCCATTTCTCCCCAAGAACCCCATCCTTGGCAGCCAGTAATCTTTCTCCCTCTGTGAATGTGTCTATTTTACATATAAAATAAGTAAATAAGACTACACCTTTCTTGACCAGAGCTCTACCAAGTAACCCGTTCAGTATGTATTTGTTGTGGTTTGGAACTTGAGGTCACAGGTGGCATTCTGTGGGCCTCCTTGTCTGTAGAGCCAGAATTTCTATTTCCCGTTTTCTTCTCAGTGATGCCCTGGGTCTGCTTGGCCATTTGCTCTGATGTCCTCAGGGAGCAGATGGCCCATTTCCCTGCTGCCTTTCCAGGACTGCCGTGTGGCTCAGAGCAGGCGACCTGCCCTGTGTGGTTTGGGCAGGATGCCCTGCTGTGGACGTGCCTGCCCTCGGCTCCCTGGCCTCTCCACCCATGACTCATGCAGTAACTGTGGCCATTCTCTACTTGCTGTCTTGTCGCCCTCCACACATGCTGCGAACAGTGATGTTCTCATTCCTGCAGTAGCCTGCCTGCTCCTCAAAGACAGCTTTTCATGCTATGCTTTCATACACCGTATCCCCACTTCCAAGATGCCCTTTCCCCCCATCTCACTTCCTTGGCAAGCTTATCTGTCAAGACCCAGTTCAAATATAACATCCTGCAGCCCACCTGAGACCGAGGCAGGGCTGGGAAGCCGCAGCTCTGGGGTCCTGCCAGCTCCGAGGAGGAGAGGGTCCAGCCCAGCTGATCATGCCCAGTCCCTTCTTCCAAACTCACCCTTCCTCCCAGGGCTCAGCGTCAGTGAGCAGGGTTACCCTAGAGTGAGCCCCCCCACCCCGAGGCAGGAGGAGTAGACAGTCTCCCCTGCACCTGTGGGGGCTCTGAGCCCCTCCAGGTTCCTGCTGCCACCACACCTCCATCACCGAGCTGCGCCCTGCTGAGCAGCCCTTCCCCTCTGTTCCCTTCCAGTTGATACCATTGCTGATCTTGTGGCCCCTGCAGCCCCCAGGCCCAGGCCTTTCAGTGTTTTGCAGAGTGAGATTCCTGGGCCCATTTCCTGAATTTCTAATCTGCCTTTGAAAAGAGCACGATGCTGGATCTAGGTTGGTCCCTCTGCTGGCCGTATAAACCCCAAAGGGATGGACATGCCATTTGGATTTTATTTATGTGAATGGAGGGTTTGGGCTGAGTGGCTGCATGCAGGCCAGGTTCAGTCCCATGAAAGATTTTCCTTTCTTACTGCTTTTGGCCCATCCTCATGAGTTTCACCCTGGGTTTACCTCTGGACTAGATGGCATCATTTCCTACTTCACCTCCCTCCCCTGCACTGCCCCTCAGATTCATCTAAGCCTCAGGGATTTTAAAAGCCTGAGAGTTTCTGGCCAAGACTCTTCTGACAGTCTTTGTTGCCTGCTCTTGCCTCTTCTCTTGGGAGTAGTTCTGTGCCTTTTTCAGCAATCTTCTGGGCCTCTCCTCTCAACAGTACTTACAAGAAGGACACATCCAGCACAGATAAAAGACAGCCACTCTGTTCTCGTTACTCTCCTTGGACTCATCCACCACTTCTCACCCCTCCCCTGGAGGAAAGATGTAACATTATCAACTACATTCACAGCAGTAATTTCTCTCATAAAAAAAAAGTGGTTTGTCACCCTCTCCCCACAGTCGCTGGCCAAATAACCCTCCACTGAAAATTTCCACCACCGGCTTTTGTAGGAAGTCACATCCCTCTGGGCAGAGATTTTAGGTTTCATCTTTGTTGTTTTATGTTAAGAGTTTTAAATGGATGTATTAAGTTTTTATAGCAATTGCATTTTTAAACTGAGGTCTTCATCATCAACTCTCTTCTTTGGGTAGTGGATGTCAAAGTGGACAGTCGTCCGCATTTCGGCTCTAGGGGGGGTGGGAATGTGATGGTGGCTTCTTGTCCCCAAGGAGGAGGCTCCTCTGTCCTGACCCCTCACCCCTCTCCCACCCCCACTGCTTCCCCGGTGGAATAAAGAGGATGAGGAAGGAGACGTCAAGCCGTTCCTTTGTTTTTAGTGCTTTTGTCCTTGGGGACAACCCCCTCCTTGCCTGTCCTTAGTGGAGTGACCGGCCAGGTGATGAGCGCGGGTGTCTCGTCCGCTCACAGGGACACAGAGATCGATGACCTGAAGACGCAGCTGTCGCGCATGCAGGAGGACTGGATTGAAGAGGAGTGTCACCGCGTGGAGGCCCAGCTGGCCCTGAAGGAGGCCCGCAAGGAGATCAAGCAGCTCAAGCAGGTCATCGACACCGTCAAGAATAACCTGATCGACAAGGACAAGGGACTGCAGAAGTACTTTGTGGACATCAACATCCAGAACAAGAAGCTGGAGACGCTATTGCACAGCATGGAAGTGGCCCAGAACGGCTTGGCCAAGGAGGACGGCACGGCCGAGTCGGCCGGTGGCTCCCCCGCCCGCTCTCTCACCCGCAGCTCCACCTACACCAAGCTGAGCGACCCCGCTGTCTGCGGCGACCGCCCGCCCGGGGACCACCCTGGCACCTCGGCCGAGGATGGGGTCGACAGCGGCTTCGCGGCCAACGATGACACCCTGAGCCGGACGGAGGCGTTGGAGGCCAGCAGCCTGCTGTCATCAGGGGTGGACTGTGGCCCCGAGGAGCCCTCATCTCTACACAGCTCCTTCAGCCTGGGGCCCCGCTTCCCCGCCAGCAACACCTACGAGAAGCTGCTGTGTGGCACGGAGGCCGGCGTGCAGGCCAGCTGCATGCAGGAGCGTGCCATCCAGACGGACTTCATGCCATCCCAGCCTGACCTGGATACCATCCTGGAGAAAGTGACCCAGGCCCAGGTCTGCGGGATGGTCCCCGAGTCAGGGGACAGGCGCCCAGAGCTGGATCCCCACCCCCCGGGGCCCAGAGACCCCAACTCTGCAGTGGTGGTGACGGTGGGGGACGAGCTGGAGGCCCCAGAGCCCATCATCTGGGGGCCCACCCCACATCGCCCTGGTGCCCACCCAAACCCCAGCCCGTCGGTGAGCGTGGCGTGCCCCGTGGAAGAGGAGGAGGAGGCAGCCACGGCCGAGAAGGAGCCCAAGAGCTACTGGAGCCGCCACTATATCGTGGATCTGCTGGCCGTGGTGGTGCCCGCCGTGCCCACGGTGGCCTGGCTCTGCCGCTCCCAGCGGCGCCAGGGCCAGCCCATTTACAACATCAGCTCGCTGCTGCGGGGCTGCTGCACCGTGGCCTTGCACTCCATCCGCAGGATCAGCTGCCGCTCGCTGAGCCATCAGGGCCCGAGCGCCGCTGGCACGACCGCCGGAGGCAGCTCCCAGCTCTGAGGAGGGCCAGCCCAAGCAGGGGCTCCCACGGCCCAACTACCGATCGTAGGGGTGCCGCCCTCCCTCTCACACCTTCCCCTGGGGCATCATCTTATTTCTTTAGTTTGGGGTTTGGAGGTGGCTTTTTTAGGATGATAACCGTGTCAGAGGCTGGGAGTGAAGGTTGGGGGAAGGTGTCCGAAAACTGCAACAGGAGAGAAGGGAAGAGAGACCACCGGCCGGGAGGCCTGCTGATCAGACACACTGCAGAGAGAGAAAATGGCGAGGCCCCCACCCCAGCCCCCCTGCCCACCCAGCCCCCCACACAGGGCAGTCGCTGCTCAGGAAGTCTCCCGTGTGATGATCTGGGGAGGCCAGCCTTGACTTGTCAGCCCGGCCTCCCCATCCCCCGCCCCCAGGTCCTGTCTGTTTCCCTGCGTACCCCAGGCCTTGTCTCCCAAGCCACCCCTTGCCCTCAGCCCAGGCTTCTGGGCCAGTATTATCTCCTCAGATGGAGGCAGCTGTGACCCAAAGTACAGGCAGGGGACTGGGACTCGGAAAAGGTCTGGAACCACTCGGCGTGTGCTGAGCTCCAGCCTCTTCAGACTGCTCCCCACTTGGGATTTGGGAGCGCAGTCAGGCCATGGGCTGGAGGAAAGATGGTGATGGGCAAGAGGTGGCAGAAGGCAGTGTGGGTCCCCTGTCTGTCTGCTCATCTCAGATCTTCCCCACCTCACTTTTCCTCCTGGCGTTTCTGAGGGTGTCAGGTCATTCTTCTATGAGAGTCAGACTGGCCTGAGCCCCACCTCCCATCTGGAGACTCTGCCAGCACAAGAGGAGATGGGGCTGGCAGCTCAAGGGGCTCCTCCAGTCTCTGAGACAAGGCCCTGCAGCCTGGGAGGTGGGGCTGGGCTCAGCAACCCCAGCTGGTTTGACTCCAGCCCCTGGAGCTTGCCTGAGTTTCTCCGGGGACCTTAGGACCAACTTCTTCTTTGCACTATGTTCATTTTGGGGCTTGGTTCTCATGCACCCCAGGATCTCCCGTGAGGTGGCTGCTTGCTTTCTAGGATGAGGGTTCCTAAGTCTTACACCTATCTGCCTCTGGAGGAATATCCAGCAGGATGAATGGCAAGATGAGGTGCTGCAGCCGTGATGTCCGTCCAGGCCAAAGCAGGGTGCCCTGGAATGTCTCCTAGGTGGGAGTGGAGTAGGGCTCCCAGCCCAAGCCCAGTCAACCTGGGAAGGCTCACTGGCCCCCCCTCCTTCCCTGGGCCCATGTCTGGGTCCCCCAGCAAAGCTGCTGACACTTTATTAACTTTCTTATTTTACAGAGTAAACCCATTCCTCTTCCCCTTCAGGGCGTATACCTGTCTGCTCACCCCACCTGCTCTTCAGAGTTACGCCCTACATTGGAGCAGGGGTGAGGAGCATTGGTGGGACCCTGTGTCTTATCCACCCCTCTGGCCTAGGGGGGCACTCTGGTTCCGTCAAGGTTGCTTGCCCACCCCCGCTGTTTCAGCAGCTGTCACCTGATTCGTGGACTCTGCCCTTCCTCTCTGTGCCCTCCGCTGGTGCGGGGGACGCCTGCATGCCCTGGGGGGGCAGCCAGCCTCACCCCCAGGTCAGGGGGAGCCCCTCAGCCACGTGCTTCGTGCCTCCGAAGCCCCCCGTCCTCACTCCAGGCCTCAGACCTGCCATCCTTTGTGGAGCTCCCCCTGATCCCAGCCAAGCCAAACCTGAACTCTGGGGGCAGGGCTGGGCTGCCCCATAGGACCCTGGGGTCATGACGCAGAGGGGCAGTGGACAACCCCAGTCCAAAGCCAAGCCAAGACTGGCCGTGGACCCCACCTGACGCCCTGTACTCACGGAGCCGCGCAGTGTCTCCTTAGAAATAGTCAAAAGCTTTGCTGAGAAAATAAAGGTATGACTATATTTGACAACATAAAATCTATATATTTTTCAGCCCTGGAATCTAGTCGAGCTGCGTAGCCCCTCTGCTCCTGTCTGCGTCTTGCTGTCTGTGGCCTTCCTACTGTGTCTTGTGTTTTGGTGGACGTGATCAGGGCCGGGGCCATGGTCCACGCCGTCCCTAATTCTGAACACGCCCCTCAGGAAGAGTGTGGATCAGGTCTGTGGACAAGGGGAGAGGACCTGGTGCCACCCTCTACTCTTGCTCTGGCTGAGACCTGCCTGCCTGGTCAGAGGGGCCCCAGCCCACTCCGGGTCCTCTCTTTTGTGGGGTCTGGTGGGACCTTCGACAGGCTTTGTCTCTTGTCAATGGAGGAGGCGAACCTTCGGCCCAGGCCCGGGACAGGTGCTGGGACTGTGTCGGCCGGGCTCCAGCTCGTGCCTGTGTGCGTGTGTGTGTGTGTTCGGGATCCCGCATCTATGCAAAAGGGGCAGAGCTGCCTGGGCGACTCCGGCGGTGAGAGGCAGCGGCCCGCCAGCTCAGGCTCCAAGCCCAGACTGCAGGGCCCAGAATGTGGGGCTGGAGGCAAGGCCAGGGCCCCGGAGCCTCCCGCTGAGTGCTCATCCTCCAAGGCTCCCCTTTTCCTTCTTGCTTAATACCTCCTCCTGTTGGGCTGTGACCTTCTCTCCTGCCCTCCGCTTCTAGAGCAGAGATCTCTGGGGTCTCCCCTCTCCCCAGCCTCTGGCTGGAGCTGATTAGATCCTGAGCAACACTGTTCTCAGGAATCACCTTCTGGAACTGCTGGTCCTTTGGAGCCCCGCTGCCAGGAGTGGCTTCCCCTCAGTTGTGGGGTCCAGGCCAGAGTTGGCCCTGCTGCTCCTCTGGTCCAGACTCAAGCAGGAATCAGAGTCAGGGGCAGGACTCTGCTCAGAGAGCTGGCCTCAAGTGAAGTTTATTCCAAATATCTCCCAAGGGGGTAACTTAGCTTTTCAATGAACACCATTCCCAGCTGCCAGTAGCACCGGGGTGCCTGGCAGCACCTTGGGGCGGGGGCGGCGCAGGAGGCAAGTGACAAGGTTCTAGGGTAAAGGCCTACGGAGGGGCCTCTGCCTAGTGAACTCATGACCCCTCTGTGACCTAGGGGTCAGTACAAACAACTCATAGTGCACTGTTATATTCAGCCATGCCCTTGACAGAGAATTCAGGGGACACAGGAAGGGGGTGGGAGGTAGGGAGGGGTCTTCACTTTTGTCTCCTTTGTCCTTTTGATCTGACAGAGTTGTACCTACAGCAGAACAGCTCTGAATTAAAGCATGAAAACACAACCAGATCCATCGCCTGTTTTCTTTATATTGTGTCTTTTGGGGCAGTGAGGGGGATGAAGGGGGCTCACGCTGTCTCCGCCTGCATGGAAGTCAAAACTCACACCCTGGAAAGAGCTGAGTGGGCAGAGATCTTTCCTGAGGTAGAGGAACCTGAGTGCTGCAAGCTGGCTCAGCTCTACCATGTGTCTGACCCCTCCTGGGGGTCACTTGGCACCCCCTGAGTGTCAGCCCCTTTGGGCCCTGAGAGTGCACCCATTTCATCCTCTCCAGCACCCCTGAAGTGATTCTCACACCTGCAGATGCAGAAGCCAGCTGGAGTCACTGAGCAGGGGTGTGCTCTAAAGCCAGTGCCCCCTTCCAGAGCCCACACTATCCCCACCACCCCCCACCACCACCCAGCCATCCCTGCTTCACACCGACAGGCGGCATATGATGGCGGCAAGTCATGTTCTCAGAGGCAACGCATAGAAAAGGGATCGGTCTCACCACTGCTTAAAAGACAACCAACACTGGTGCATCATGGGACTGAGGATTCTGGAATTTCAATTACTTTTGAGGAAAGGATTTTATTTAAAATCAAATCTTTATTCAAAAGACAGTGAAGGGTTATAACTCTATACAGTTTGTGACAAAGAACAAGTAAAGGAAAAAGAAACAATTCTTACCAAAAAAAAAATGTATTTGTATTCTCAAAACACGGAACTGTTTTACTGGTAGAGGCAAAAATTTGAAAGGGACCCAGTTGCAACTTTAGGAAGTGTTTAGCCGGCCTGCCGACGCGCGGAGCATTTAAATCAGCCCAGAGAATGGCTGCCTGTGGGCCCTGTCCCAGCCTTAGCCCAGTTGAGTGGCTGAGACTCCAACAGGGCCAGTGTATGTAAATGACAGGCGCACAGGATGCCATGTCTCCCCGCCCTGAACCCGCCCCCTTGAGAAGACCCCGCCCCCTTGAGACGGCCCCGCCCCCAGGGCAGCGCGCCTCTGCAGGCAGAACATTCACTTTCCGGAAGGAGGCTGACAGGGCTGAGCTGCTGTCCCGTGGCCTCAGACGTCAGGGATGGAGTGGTCCATGGTGTGGTGGAGCAGGGTCGGGGACAACCTAGATACAGTAACAAGGACAGTCGCCAAAACTGGCAGCACCTTCTCCCCCTGCCCCCCAAAACCTGTGCCTCCCTTGCCTCACCCCAAGTTACCAGAAGCCCCTGGCTCCCGTGAAGGGAGCGAGGGGAGGAGAGCGGGGCTCTGCAGAAGAGGAGAGGAAGCCGGTGGCCAGGAGGTGGGGAGGTGAGGGGGGCGGGGAGACGGGGGAGGGGGGAGGTACGGAGGGAAGTGATGGGGGCGTCGAGAGTGGGACAGCCTTACTTTTTGACCATGTGCTCGTAGATGACGGTGGGGATGATGGTCAGGGTGATGACGTTCCCGGCGGTGGCCAGAATCTCTGTGACTTCTTTGTCCTGGAGAAGAGGTGAGTGAGCAGTCACCTTAGGGACCAGGGGCAACTCTGAGGCACTTCTGTGAAGTGGTCAGTATGGCCCTGCTGGAGTCCACCACTGACAATGACGGTAGGGAACAGGCTGCCCCTTAAGTGAGGGTGGCAGGCCCCCAGCTCAGGCAAGAATGTGGGCCTCCCATCTGAGGCTCTCTCAGTAAAATGGACTCATCTCTCCTACCCTCACCTTGAGGGCCTGTGTGGGCCTAACACCGAACGGCCTCACAGACATGACTTCCCCCAAAGAGCCCCGGGAATCCCACCAGGCACACGTGTGTGCAGTCTCCCAGGCCCCAGTGACACTGGGATTCTTACCCCAGAGCAGAAAGAGAACCACACTGCAGTTGGGGGACAAGGCGGGGGGCAGTAGGCATACCCGCCCACCCTCTTCTCTGGGCTCCTGTCAGCCTGAGCCGAGCCCGTGGGGTACCTCTTCCTCTTACATCTTGTTGACCGGTAAAAAGAAAGGCCTGCAGAAGCCATTCAGACCATGGGGAGAACAAGACACGAAAAGCACCTACATAGAGTATGCCACAAACGCTAAGGCCACGAGATGAGCCTCTGGCCCTTACTCGGAGACCGCGACCTTTACTTTACACAGATCTCCGACCAGGCTGTGTGCTTTCCTAGATGTGCCAGGATCAACGGGAGAAGATGTGCTAGATGGGACTAGACCATCAGGCACAGGGGAGAAGATGTGTGACAAGAGTGACCTGGAGATGGCCCTTATGAGGGAGGAGCAGTGGCTCACAAGACTGTCATCTGTGGGGTGAGATGGCATCCCCCCCAAGCCACCTCCACCTGCCTGTGAGCCCCAAAGCCCTGGATGCCCAAGGAGGGGGGACCCTCACTCTAAATCACAACGGGCATTAAGAACCACTCTCAGTCCTGGTGGCATCAGTCAGGATAAACCACTCTCACTTGTCCAAGAACCAGAAGCCGTATGACTCATCCTCCTCTGGGGTCTAGTCCCCGAAGGCACCCACCCTGTCCCACCACCACCACCTGTCGTCACACCTCTGGCCTTCATGCGTAAGTAACAACAGCGAGTGTTTACTGAGCACTTAGTGTCTGCACTGTCCTCGGAGCTCTCGTACCTTTGTCTCATTGAATCCCTGCTGCAGCCTCAGGATGAGGACTGAAGCTGGGGAGAGGGCAGCAGCCACCCACAGACACGAACCTTCCCACCACCCCTCGATCTCCCAGCCCCTGAGTCCCTGGGATGGAGCCACGCTCCGCCTTGCTTACCTTCAGCCCTATGACGTTTTGCCCATTCACCTCGCACACATAGTGGTTGGTGAGGAGCCCATTACGGGCTGCAGAACTCCCTTTGACCAAAGAGATGATTTTCCCCTTCTTGATGACGAAGCCGACATGGCCTGTGCTGTCCTTATGCATGGTGATGGTCCGCTGGAACGGCCTGGCAGGGAGGGACAGTGAGCTGGGCCTGGGGCATAACCAAGGGCAGACAGACAGGCTCCTGGGACCCGGGTGCTCACCTGTCCCGAACAACTATGATGATCTTCTCGGCCGATGCCTTCTTCACCACCTGGTGAGCTTTGTCCGTGCTCCACCCAGCACAGTCACGTCCATCAATCTGCAGAATCTGGTCCCCAAAGCGCAGCCCCACCAAGGACGCAGGGGTGTTGGCCTGGACCAGCTGCACGAAGAGCCCCTGGAGGAGGTGAGCCCCGCAGTCAGTTCCCCCAGCCCACCCTGAGCCCAGGTGCCTCCTCCTGGGCTGCTGCTTGCCTCTTGATCTTCTCAGAGTCTACTGGGCCCTGGGGCTGTAACTCTGTACAGCAACATACAGGGTACCCCATTTTCCTGGTGAGGAAACAGGCCACACAGCTAGAAAGCAACAGAGTCAGGAATTCAGGAGTTTTCCCGGTAACTCAGATGATAAAGAATCTGCCTGCAATGCAGGAGACTCGGTCAATCCCTGGGTTGGGAAAATCTCCTGGAGAAAGGCATGGCGACCCACTCCAGTATTCTTGCCTAGACAATTTCATAGACAGAGGAGCCTGGCGGGCTACAGTACATGAGGTCGCAAAGAGTTGGACATGACTGAGCAACTAACACTTTCAGGAATTCCAACTAGTGGCTGCATCCCCAGTCACCAGACTACAAGGCCTCTCACACTGGCATCTGAGCCAACACCCCCACACCCCTCGCCTTCCACTGTCTGCAGAAAGCCTCCCAGAAGCCAGCTCCCTGTGAGTGAGGAGCAAGGAGGCATGAAGTCCCGGGAGGGGCAAGCGGAGGATCCCTGGCACAACCTAGAGCAAGCCCTAGTGCCTTATGGGAGGGGATGGAGAGGACGAGCCTGTCTAGGGCTCAGGTGGGCCTTGGCTCCCGCCCCGCGCAGCACCTTCCTGACTGTGGTCCACCGTCTCCCGCTGGTGGACTATGTGGCCAGAACCCCGGAAGCACGCCGGGGAGCTCGGGTAGCCTCGGCCGCGGGCGAGCTCTCCCTCTGCGTTCCGCGGGGCCCCTACCCTCCTCTCCCGCCCGACCCCAGCCCCACCTTGTCGATGGCCTGCAGCCGCAGCCCCGTCTTGCCACGCTCGTCCTTGCATAGGTGGATCTCTCGCACCCCAGGCTTGATCTCCGCACGCAGCGCGCCTAGGCTGTTCCCGGACACCGGCGCCACCGCCTGGCCCGGCGAGGGGCCCGAGACCGCTGCCTGCAGACCACAGGGGAGCAGAGGTCAGCCAGCGCCGTGGGGCCTCGTGCCTCAAGGGCCCAGGCAAAAAAAAAAAAAAAAAAAAAAGGCCCAGGCGTGGGAGCGGGGATTGGGAAAAAAGAACGGTGTGGACCCTGAGCCACAAGCCCACCGCAGACCACGCACTTCCCTCCTGCGGGCAAGAGGACACATGGCTCCATGAAGCCACTAGGGGGCGTCAAAGTCCTCACCCCCAAAAAACACAGCCCAGGAAAATAGAGACGGGAGGACAGGTCTGTATTATAGAAAAAGGGTCCTCATTTTCCAAGACAACTTGGTGTCAGAAGAACCTTTTAAAATCCACTTAAAAATAAAAAGATTCACAGAAAATAGTGAACAATGAGGGGGTAAAGGAGCTCAAGTTGATTTCTGCCTTGAAAAAAAATTATGTCAAAAGTATCAAGATGAGTGAATACTAACCCACCCCCAAAAGATCTGGAACAAGGCAAAGATGTCCACTCCCACCACTACTGTTAAATACAGTAATGGAAGAACTAGCCAGATCAATAGACCAGAAAAGAAAACATAAAATGATCCCTATTTTCAGATGAGATGATGCTATACTAGAAAAGTGCAAAGAATCTCCAGATAAACTCCTAGAACTCATAATTGAATTCAACAAGGTCACAGGACACAAGACCAATGCACACCAAAAAAATCAATTGTACTTCTATATACTAACAATGAATACATGGAAACTGAAATTAAAAATACAATACCACTTACAATCGCTCAAAAAAAAAAAAAAAAAAGAAATACTTAGGTGTGGAGCTAATAAAACATATACAGGA